TTGTGTGTGTGTGTGTGTGTGTGTGTGTGTGTGTGTGTGTGTGTGTGTGTGTGTGTGTGTGTTTTTGCAAAAACGTTCTAAGTTTAATATTAAAATATAAATTAAAATACTTGAGAAAGATTAAAAAAGCAATTTTAAAAATATAAAAAGTACAGAATTTTCGTTGTCCACTATTAGCCAAAAAGAAATAGAGAAAAACTTGTTCAAAAATAAATATAAAATACAATATTTTGTTCTATATACGATACAAAGATGTTATGGTCGCACGGAATAGTGAGAGCTATCTCAAAACCTTAAGTCTTAGAGGTTCAAACAACATGAAACTTATCCAACACTCTCTAGCTATTAACTACGGCTATAAGCGAGCAATTAATATAATTTCGCAATGGTGCCGACGAAACGCTTACAGAGAGAATTATTAAAGACAATAATGCATGCGAACGTAGTAAAGGATAAAAGCTCTCTAGACAGTTCTCTCTGAACATATTGTTCTTCTACAGTTCTATTGATATACGTGTGAAATGCAGTTCTTCGATGGAAGCAATTACAGAATTAATAAAGTCCTTCTGTCATGTATCGGACAATGGCCATATCAAACAAACAGAAGTAGCAACGCTATTATTATCATTATAGTGTCTTTGGCTGGTTCGCAATTTGTCGCCAAAGTATGACGATACATGTTTGAATATCGCAAATTTAATTCATCATTGCGTATTAATTTTTGTTTATAATTATTATAACAAAATTATTTCTTTAAATAATTACATTTGCAATGTAATCTGTTTTATATATAAAAGCAATATTTATAAATGTCGTACGCTTGATATTTATAATTTCACATTTTAAATAGGTATGTGGTTTGCTATCCATTGATAATATTGATGTGTTTATCGATTCTCTTTCTCCGTTGGTAGTCGATATAGGATGTGGAGTAAAATTAATCACTTGTATATTAAAAGCAACAAAGGTATATATATGTAGCATATATACATTACTAATATAGTTTAAAAATATTTTCAAAATATTTACGTCTGTGTTATCGCAATTATTAATTATGCGAAAAAGAGCAACTGTTTCTGGACGAGACTATTTAAACAATTGCCAACACAATGAAATCTTGATATCTTTTTATACTATAAAATTTGATTATAGATTAGAGCACTTTTTGATCAAATACAATACGATTGGCAGTTATTAACTACATCTCCATACATCAAGATACTTAATAATTATGCACAGAATGGACGGACATTTACTATTATATACGCGAGTAAGCATAATTATTGCATATGCAATAAAGAAAAAAATTCAATGACTTCTTAAACTCTTGAGAAAATTTGTAAAAATATTTAATACTGATTAAAACAGTCTAGCGTATGTTCCTTTTTACTATAGAATCTTGTTTAATAAGATTTATCTTTAATAAGAATCCAAAACACAAAATAGTGATTTTTATCTTAAAAAACAGAAATTAAGGATGAAAAATAAAAAATGATCAAGATTAATGGAATCTATTTAGGCGCTTTTTATTCCGCGTTGGTGTTCTTCATGTTAGTACCATTACAACCACTCTTACTGGGTTCTTCTTCAAATGATACAACCCGACCATTGTTACATCAAGTTGAGTACTATATCGATATGGAAAAATATTATTTTCCAATTTTAATTCATGGATACCTTACAGCCATCATTTGTGTAAGCATAGCCATTGCAGCAGATACGATGTATGTAATCGTAGTGCAGCACGTTTGCGGACTATTTATGATCATCGGGTAAAAATTTCACTAAGTATTCTAATTTTTTACATTTAATTCCTATATATTAATAAATAAACATATTATAAAATAAATAATTTCGGAATTCATGCGAATTTCGCGCGATTGCTTTAGGCAACAATTGGGAAATATAATAAAAGATGATAATCTAGAAATAAATTTTAATCCACTTATAGAGGATGATAAACCATATGAAAGTATTATAAGCAATATTTATGCACATAAAAGAGCTTTAAGGTTTGTGTCGTAATACAGAATTATTAAACGCGAAAAATGTACACTTAATAAATAATATCTAATTTAAAAATATTACATTTTTATATAATATTCACGTATATAAAGATTCGCCAGTCTCATCGAAGGAGTGTTTAATCAAATGTTTCTGGTAATAGCAGGTTTTAATATGCTTATCATAAGCATGACAGGCGTTACGGTATGTCGATTTTATTCATTTTAATGATAATGCTATACTGTAAATTTAATTTATAAAAATTAAATTTCTTAATTAAACTAATACAGAAAAAATAATTAATTGTTTCAAAATCTAATTAAACTTATTATTTAAAATAGAAGTATATTAACAAATAATCTAGCAATATACGTTAATTGAAAAAAATAGATTTATATTTAAAAATATTTCTTGACTTCTTTGCAATTGAAATACTAAACCTTTTTAGGCAGTAACGAACATGGACAAACCAGAAGAATTTTTTAGACAAATAACATTTTCTTGTGCACTCTTAGTACATTTATTTTTCGAGAGTTTTCAAGCGCAACGTCTAATCGATCATAGCATATATATTCATACTAATTTGTACGTATATATGTTTTTAGCATTAAATTAGAATTGTGTTTCGATATTTCTTACCAATACTAAAAATAGTTTGGATGTTTGAAAATTCGTATATATTATAGATTTTCAATACCAAAATGAATATCGGAACAATAAGACAATTGTTATAAATATGAGGGAAAGAGAAGTTTACTTTTCATACTACAAAGTTTCAAAGCATTTTTTAACTGATATTCATAAAATTCTTTATCCTGATTAGTTAAATCAAACGCTTCGAAATATTTATAACATCAAATGCATCCATAATTACTCAAGAGTATACTCTGTGTGTGTGTGTGTGTGTGTGTGTGTGTGTGCGCGCGCGCGCGCGTGTGCGCGCGTGTGCGTGTATGCGTGCGTGTGTGTACACGCGTGTTTGTGTGTGATGCGTGCGTGCGTGTGTGTACATAGATCAACATTTTGTAAAACCGATAATTTACTATATTCGATGAAGTGATTTAATTTATAATTTATAATTTATAATTTAATTTATAATTTATTCTTGCTTAAAATTTAAAATTAAATAAAAGAATTCTACTTGACTGATAGCGAACTTTAAATATAATCTGAAATATAAAACATATTTTATTTACAGAACGAACATAGCTTGGTATCAAACTTCATCTCGAACAAGAAAGATCTTAATCTTTATGATAATGAAAACGCGAGAACCTTGTGTATTAACAGCAGGAAAAATGTTTGTAATATCAATGGATACTTTTTCTACGGTAAGAAATGTTTTATATATTTGATGAAAATTATTAATAGCAGAGAAGATATTCAGGCAGAGACATATGTCTAAAAGATGTCTTACGAGGTGTTTCTTTTAAAATATTTTAAAACTTTTCAAATTAATATATTTTTAGTATAAATATGCCTAGCTATTTATATTACTATTTATATTAATATTTAAAATGTTTTTAATTAGCAATCGAAATTATACATCTAAAAGTTATCATCATTATTCATCATAATAAAAACATTTTAAAAGAATATCTAAGACATCTTGAATTGAAATACGAGACACCTTAAAGACATCAAAGTATCTTTCTGATAGTTTCATAAAATATTTTCAAAATTTCAAGATGTTTCTTAGATAATTTTAATCTCTTGTCTATTATAATAAGCAAATTTATTATTAATCATAACACAATTAGTATTTGTTTTATAAAGAAACATAATTGCGAGCATATAAGAAAATGAAATTATAGCTCACATCAAAATTAATATAAGTATTTGCATTTTGCGATTTTAATATAATTTATTTTTTTTTAAGATCGCACGTACATCTGTATCATATTTTACAATGCTGCGATCGATGCAATAGACAATATTTCAAAATAAAAAAATTGATATTACATTAACATAAAATAAAAATAATTAATTCCACTGTATTTTGACTGAAGAAAAATTTAAAATAAATAATAAGAATACAGTTCCAATATTTTATCAGATCCGATTTTACAATGTTATAATCTGTTTTAAAAATTTTACTTTGGTGGATCTATTCCATAAACTTGCGTTTGATTGTATTTTATTAGGATTGAACGTCACATTGTACTCAGGTATGCCGTTCCTAATTTTTTCTAGAAACCTATAAAAATTTAATTACAATATAACTTTTATATTTTACCTATATATGTATAATAAGCAACAAACCAAACTTTTCACTCGGTGAAATGCGTGGCTGCTAATGACTGGAGAAAGTGACACGTGGTGCGGGCAACGTTCTCTAAGTGACCAATTCAGTGTGTACTCACTGTCATGTTATATATGTCGCATGCAATCTATATATGTATATGCGCATATATGGCATACACGCATGC